AGCTTCACACTTAGCGATCAGGTGCACGTGCGGCCTGAAGATATGAGCTGGCAGGAGAGGGTTTGCTTTGACCACACAGAGCTCCTGTCCTCTGCCTCATTCATGGATGGACACAAGTGAGGTGTGATACAGAAGAGCATGGAGTGACAAGTCTGAATCCATCTTGACTGAAATCCGTCTTCAGCTCAGGTTTATGCTTTGTTGGTCTGACTTTGTATCTGTTCCAAGCTGCCTATAGTTTCAGGCCTTTGGCTTTAGAATGAATAGTTTTATATACCATCTTTTCCAGTCTCGAGTGGTGATGATGGCCACTTCTCAGCAGTGACCCACATGGAAGTAATTCCAAATCCACGTTGGGAAATGATAGGTGGTCAGGACAGAGGGGTCCCTCTGTGTATGGGCAAATTCCAGGAATGGAGTGGGGACTGATGGGCTTAGTGACCAAGGGAGATGGTTTCCCTTGCCTCATGCCCTTCTTTCCATTTCACCTTTGCTTTAGCTCTCTGGCTTCTCTCTTGTTTAGCTCATTGCCCGTCCTGTCTTACCTCCAGGAGCTGCTACAGCCCAGTTAGATGAGGCAGGAAAGCCCCATTAGCAGGAAATTTTCTCATTCTTTCCTCTTGCAGAGGTTAACATTTTTTGGTCATGTTTCAGGCTGGCCACCTCTGGAACACGCTAGTCAAGAATAACTGCATCTGCTCTTAGCTAGTTGGAATAACAGCAGCTCATCTTCGACATCCTTACCCTTTGGATTACATTGGTCCTAGGGTTTATGCATTAGTAGGTTCTTCCCCCCCCCCTCAAAGGTGAGCTGCCAAACTGCAACAGTTGTGACTGGCCATCAGCAGCCCAGCCCCTTCCTCCCTGCGTATGTGGTGAGGGCACAGCGGAGCGCAGTGACCCTGGTTCAGCTGCACTGGATGTGACTCCAAAGCGCTTCCCAGCCCGTGATTGTAACAGGCTCTATCCCAAGCACAGCACTGGTGGTCATGACCACGCTTTTTGCAGGCCCATTGACTCCGCTTTCAGTTCTCCTTAGCCATTGGCAGAACTGACTTGTTCAGAAGCCACGGGGAGTGAACTATCCCACCTTTTCTTCCTGGAGACTTTTTATAAAGCAGCAAGCACAAGGCAGTTCTTTGCTTTTTCACATGGAAGTGACTATAAACCACCCTAAGATTCCAGCGGGAAGCAGGTAGGATCCCTGCGGTCCCTATGGTTACCCAGCTTGAGCTACCATTGTTTTCCCCATACACAGCACTTGCCTCAACTTAATTCACAAATTCAGAAAGGCCAGTCGTGACAAAGCCAGGTAAGCCATTGAAAAGTGAAGCGAGAGAAGCGCACAGTTCTATTACCAGTGCCACACGCAGCCTGGGCTGCAGCTCTGCCTTCATTCCATAAATAAAATGCAAGTTCTTCAGCACTTTGGGCAAATACCTGTTTTTACTGAATAGCTGCATCAAGGTACTTACTTATTTATTTACAGGACAAGCATAGAGAGAGCTGCACTGAGCCAGAATATAACTCCATCCCGCCCAGTATCTCGGCTCTAGGAGTGACCAACAGTGCGGGGGTTGAAGGTCAACTGTAAGAGTAGAGAGAGCGCGTAGTGGTTATTGATTTCCTAGACACACTTTGCTGGTTTACAACAGCATGTAGCTCAGGGAGGTACTGAGCCAGATGCAGTGTCTTGTCACGAGACAGAACATGGAGCGCATGTACCAAACAGGCGTGAAAAGAACCTAAATTTTATAAGCGCCCTTAACTCACTCAAATGGAACTAAATGATCCTGTCAGCACAGTCGCTATGGCTCTCTGACCTGTTAACAGTTTTTCTGTGCATACTTGATCTCTTAGCTGCTTTTAACCCCCACCCCCCCAGATAATAAGTTTTTAATTAATATACTAACATTGCTCCTGTTGTGCTGCCAAAATGCTACATGCTGCTCAAACTGTATTATCTAAAAAGAAAAATAACAATCGCAGTGAGGTAGAGTACAACCTTCAGTCCTGCAGTTCTGAGAGTGAAGCTTACTGTTCATACAATCACAGAGTGCTCAGTTGCCACCATTTCAAAACATAACTTGCTTGAAACTGTTTTTTTTTAAGGAGACACTTGTAGCACATACATAATCAGTGAGTTGAAACCAGAGTGTCAACATCAGATTACTTTGGCAACTGAAAGCCCGGACCCCATTTTGTTTCCTAGAGGAATGACATGAGCTGGAGAATTGGGCTTAATTCCATTCTGTAATCCATGTGAAAAGTATATTCATTTTCCCTTTAAAGACACAGAATTTTTAACTGTACAGATTTAAGGCATCGCCTCATATCAACCCCTTTCCTGAGGTAAGTTCTCTACCGCTTTGCCCACAGACAGGTGTGCACTAAGAAAGCTTTGCAAGTCTAATTAAATAGTTATGGGCTTTTGCAAGTGTGACTTATTCCACCTCCAATGCCCTCCCCCTACTTACCCGAAGGAGAAGAAAACGCTGCTGCTGGAGTACAGTGTTGCCCAGGGCACCTGCGTCTCCCTCAGACCCTCGCGCAGCAGAGCTCTGCGAGGCAGTTTCTCCTGTAGACATGGCCGTGCTCCTCCTGGCTGCCTCCCCTTTTTGATCTGACGCAGAGACCTTAGGCACGACATCACTAACATCTTCCCATCTTGTCATATGGCTTTTTCATTTGGTTGAATAGGTTTTGAGTTGTCATTACCTCTGACCACAGCAGCACTTCTTGCCAACTTACCTTGCTGGGTGACTGCTGCATGTAAGTAGATGACATGCCTGTTTATGCAAGTTAAAGCTGGACAAGTGTACACTTCTATATCGGTGACACACACGAGAGAAACGCCACTGGTGGCTGCTTGTTTCCCTCTCTGCTAAGTACTTTTGCACACAGGTAAGAGGACACTCTCTTGCTGAGAAGCGTTCCCTGCTGCCTCATAGAACTGCCCCGTGGAACAATTAACTGCTCCGAGTCTGCCACATGCCGTTGGATGCAGTTTTTTGATACAGCGTAGGCTAGGAACTGAGATTTTTGAGACTGAGCTTACCTTGAAGGAAGCTGTCAGCTTTGTGTGGATCAGGTTCTAAAGCAAATGCACCCAAATGGGATTTGGAACCAAGCTCCAACGTTGGCTTCTAGATGACTTAGAACCGGTTTTGGTTTAGGAAATACTGGATGCTAAAAATTAAAAGCACAAGAAACACCGAAATAAATGGGCTTTGGCCCTTCCCTAAGGAAATCCTTGAAGAAAAGGTCTTACTGTCCTGTGACGAAATCACAGCGGATGTCTTTTTTTCCTCCAGTCTCATTTATTTAGTAGCATACACACTTCAGAGTAACAAACACTCAACCAATACAGTCAATGTCAAAAGTGACCGTGGTCAGCATTGCATTGTAGTGTTCAGAACGGATGCACTGTGGATGATACAGGCCATTTGATCTCAGTACCTTAAGAATAACAAATCATAACAACAGCAATACAAAAAAAATAAAATTAGCAAGAGCCCTCTGAGATACGTGAGGGTTTGGTCCAACTCCTATT